ACCCTTTTCTTTTTTTTATTCACTGCTCGAGCAAAAACGAGATTTGCGCGGTAGATCTTGCGGCGAAGTTTGTAGCTGCGTTACCGGCCGCGTATTAAATTATTACTACGGGACACGGTGAACACACACACACATCGCTAACGCGCGCGCTGGGAAACCCGTGTTCGCCTTCCTCTTTATTACACGCGAATTTGATCGCTTCATAATGAACGCCGCCGACGCACCGCGCTGCGCCGCTGCCGCGACTCCTTCTCCAAACTGTTATTAAATTGAATCGCGCCGCGTGAGCGCCCCTCGCGCGATTTTAAAATAATTATCTCTTCGTTCGAACGATTACGCGAAATTTCGCGTACCGATAATGGCCGACGGAATGGGAATCGTGTCATTAACGCCATGCGGCCATATTGTTCTCGGCCACTCGTAAATATTACAATAAATACGTACGTCGTCCTCGACAATTTACGGGGTGTTGCTTAAGATTCAAGGTGTTTTCGGTTTCGATCGAACTTACACGAGGGGAAAGGATTTTGGCCAGGGTAATGCTTTTGGGTTAATCTTCTTAGGCGGATATGGAGTTTTATTTAAGTTGTCGATGCTGTGCGCGAAACCATTTACCGTTAGGCCGAATGAAAATTTTACCTGTGTCGTCCACGACGAATTTGGGTACCGATACCTGTGCAACGCCGTCGCAGGCAAGATTTTCATCGGTTTCATGTACAGGGTGATACTAAGGTTTGATCAGAATTCGTTTCATGGAATACTGAAATAAGTTTCTTAATTTATTACAATTTATTTGGAATGAACTGAAATACAGCTGCAATTCATAAGAAACTTTATAAAATTTGTTGAATTGTTGAAATCAATTGTAACATTTGAAATATTTAACACAATCAGAAAATATAATAACGAGATTTGAGGAAAAACTCATTTATTTACTACTAAATTTCGACTTTTTATTAACTACAACAAGATACTCTGATTTTTATTCGCTAGCTAAAAGTACAATTCTCCATTTTGTAATTAAGGGACAAGCGGAACCTTCCAAAGTAACTGGTTTTCATATCGTTTTATTGAAAAATAATAACTCAGTATAACTTACAATTTTTGGAAACATAGATGCACAACTTTATTTCCATTCAAGAAGTTAACCCCGAAAGGAGTCATCCGCATTTTGTCCACCCTGTACACTGTACACGATTTTCTTGTTATTTCTGGCCCCTGCCGTTCGGAGTCCTTCCGCCACAATCCTACAATCTCTCACGAACCAGCACTTTTTGGTTGGTTTACTTTCGTCCCGTTCGCCGACACGAATCTTTCGGATTGGAGTTCAGTCTCCTCGGTCATCTGTCATCCTTGTCACGCTTGTTTAGCTTCTCTCATTTTCGTTCCCTGGCTATCTCTGCCTCCGACCCCGTTCGTTTCATCCTCGACCCTGTGGCGCTTGGCTTGTATACCTTGCCCTTCTCACCCCTTCGGCAACATATTGGTCGGGACTAACCCCTTTTCTCTCCTTACCCCCGAACCTCTTTTCCTGTCGCTAACTCGGTACACTTAAGCCTTGTATACGTACCGTACGTGTGCCGGTTACCGTCGCCACGCCATCCCCCATTGGTTGGGATGGTAGCCTATTGACGACCTTTCCACCTCGACTCACCGCAAACAATTATTATCGCTTTACCCTCCGCCCGGTGACATTTGATCTTCGAGCATATTGTTCAGCGGGCGGACGAAAGAACCAGGCCGCAGTCAGCTTCTGGGATCCGAGGAACGTAGACCGTGTTTGGTCGACGGTTTTTAATGGCCGGTGACATGCGAAGTATGTTCGTCACGAAATTTTGCGGTTGCCAGGCAAATGGAAGAAGAAATTACGGTGGCTCACTAATGACACCGTGGCTCGAACCCGTGTCGGTGTAGTTCGCCGATTGTAAATCATGCAAAACGTAATCCGACGGATTCTGTAAAGGAAATCGTTTTGTCGTGTTGGTTTTCGATGGGAAGAGAAATAACGTTTACGCTGCTTTACAAATGAAGCAGTAGGAGAACAAGTGACTGTATAACATTTTGACGTCGCAGATAAGTCTGATTGTTAAGGATAGTTACTATTTGAAATAGATATCACATCTTGTGTGATTATTTTGTTACGAAGTTTTCAAAGCTCAAATACTTATAATTGCTGATCGCATACCAATGAATTGCGTATTGTAACTGCATATTTCATTACAAATTTTACATTGAACACATTGACGAGAACGTTTAGAGTAAGACGTAACATAAGACGCTCATTAAGTTACGTACACGGTCCTCGAACGACCGTTACTATGGATTCTTATGGACACAAAGAGAATCTGATGATCATATGAAAAAGCAATAATGCAACTTTTTACGAACATTTTTCATAATAATCCATGTTGCAACGGAAAACCATGCAATCGTCCCCCGCGATAGTCGTGTAATTACCATCCATGGAATTAATTACCGTTTCGGGGTTAATATTTAAGAGTGGGCCGGCGCACGTTTCGCCTGTAAAGCACGAAACGATTCGCTGTAATACATGGCACAGAAATCGGTGCCGCATAAATTCGAGCCGCGAAAGCTGGAAAGGAACACGTCATCGCTTGTCATCGAACTGGAACGCTCGATACGAATTCCTTGCTCGCTATCTCCTGACATATCGACGACGCATTTAACCGGATAAGCCCCTCGCAAAAATAGGACGCCTCACCGAATATTACGCTGCCGTCGTAAGCATTAAGCGACAGATAATTCGTCTCTTCCCTCTTTCCATCGTACCGTAGGAATGTAACGCGAGTCCGAACGAATCGCGTAAAAACCGGTTGCTATTCGACGCAAACAATGCGGAGTTAACGCTGCATTTTACCAAGTCGAGTGTGACGAACGACTGACGTTTCTCAAACATTTCTCTCTCTCCCTCCCTCCCTCTCGCTCTCTCGTTTATCTCATTTGCAGAAAACTTTAACGGCTCGTATTCTCCTTTTTCCTTTTTTAGGGAAGAGGACAACAATTTCCTTCGAAGAACACGACGGACTTCGACTCCATAATGTCACCGATCGATTCGGCGTTTTCACCTTTCTTTGCTTTTTAACCGTTTTCATGAGTACGCACGGTGCGACGAATCGATCGCGTGCTGCTATCCGTTCGCGGGTCCCTATTTAAACAGTCGCGACGGAATCGTCGTTTATCAATGACGATGACGAATATTTAGGATCATGGATGTTTATAGTTTGTTTAGCGTGAGTGTTTGTCAACGCACACGGTTTATTAATGGCATTGGAATCGCCACGGGACCCGCCAATTTATTTACATCGCTCTATTGTTCAGTCGGTTCTGCGCGGCGAAAAATTGATCAGCGAATACCGAAACGATTCCACGGTGTACATAATAATTTCGTCGGTCGATCGAATGATATAAGATTACGGGCGACATATTGTATGACCCTGCGCATGCAAGTCTATCGATTACTGAAAGAAAAACAGCACAGTCGTTTCTCACGTTCTGTACCAGCGAGCTCTTTATTTCTGACTCACGTTCGCGATCATCGGCGCAATTGAACGGGACGTGTTTATATTTTGCGACACGTACCATGATAAAAATATCGTATAAATCCGACAATTGCTCAAAAATGATAATCGTATTTTTATACATATTTACGAAGAATTGTGATTATTATCATTTTTATTATTACTTGATAACACAACAATCTCTCATTTATCATTTTGAATTTTATAGAAAATTCGATGTTACCAATACCATTACAATTCAAGTCTGCGATAGTAATTAAGTACTTATGCTAAAGCATTATGCTTAAGCATTATCTAATAATTTTTATCATAGTCAAACGATTTCTAAGAAAAAGCACCTAATACAGTTGACAATAGTAACACTCTATGCTTGATAGGTTTGAATAATGGGAATTTTAAGGAAACTGAACAGAGATCTAATTGCTAGCGATATCTCTAGAGCTTGCCCTATTTCAATCCTGTCTTTTTACTGAGAAACGATGAGCAAACCCAGGAATACCTATTTGGTACGATAGGAGTCGCCACGCGGACCCGCATACGCGACAATTAGAGAGGCAACGCCGTGTAACATACTTCGCTCGGGATATT